CACGTCTTATCTGTTGGGAAATTTAAGTATTCATAAGATTTGATTGATTTGTTAAATGAACCTAGCTAGTATTAGAGATCAAAGTGGTCGGTTATAAATTAAGCATTTAATCCTTGAACCTATAGCTTTCCATTAACTAACAAGACATTTAGGCAGTTTAATTAGTTGCAAAGACACGATTGAGAGTAGTTAAAGGGTTCATATACCATCTATTAATTAATTGTATTTGTTGAGAAAAGTGGTTTAGTTGAGAGTTGTGATGGAATCCCCACATCAAAATAATATGATGAGAATAAGTAGAATATATAGATAGAAATTTATGAGTCCAATAAATTAATTTTTTAAGTTTAAATTAAAATAGTATTTCAAATTTATATATACTGGACTTATTTAAGCTCTAGCAGCCTGTCTCCAACAACACATAATTCAAGAACTTGGATATTTTAGAAGAATCTTGACCTTTTTGTTTCATGCATGTACATATGTATATGAGTGGGTCGAATGGTAAGTTAATTAAGAGGGGCCTATTCTACTATTTTGATGTACACCGGAATGATGCATATTAGACTATGGGAAATGTAAGAAAAGTAAAATAAGCACTTTTTGTAATTACATGTTAAATTAAAGTAAAAAAATGAAATTATTAGATCTCTCAGACAATTACTATATCTAACATTAATTTGTTGTGGGGCAACCAAAAAGTTATTCAATTATGTTCTTCTCTCCATTCACATTGTTCCTTACGAAAGCCTACATGTTTATCTTACAATTTTTGTGACAGTGATTGCAAAATTTAGGTAGATCTATATAAGATCTAGGCCGACAGATTCCCCAATTATACAAGTATATATAGCTATATATCTAGCTAACTATATATGAGTTTAATTTACTTTAAGTTTTTTTCCACTAATAAATTGATAGTCGTACTACTACTCCTAATTAGCCATGGCTATAATCGATTTTCAACAAAACCATTATTAAGACTAGGGTTGAAGAATAAGAAACAATGACTTTGGTTGTGGCGTTGAGATGACCACGATAACGGGTGGGCCAATTAATCATGGCTAATCTAAATTTATATTAGGCACCACTACCTACGTATTCCTTTAATTATAAAAATTATATAATATATGAATAAAATAAATTAAAAATAAAAAATAATTATTTTTTATTATATAATTTACTATAAAAATTACAAATTAAAGCATTCATGGATTGAAGAAAAAAAACCTATCCAGCATATTGGTACGAAATGCACATGGGTACTGGCACGCAGGTACATTATGCAATCAGAGAATAAAACAATTAGTCCCCAAATTAAATTAGATTTTCTTGAATTTAACGTAAATATATAACAATGTCAGTTGAGGAAATTACAATAAAGTAAACAAACAGAAGTTACAGAACAATTATTCAAATCCCTTGACCTTTGACTACTGAAACGTCTCAGAATTCAGATCCCTAAACTAAAACCGGACAACGACATAGTGTTGCTGTGTGCTCTTCGGTCAAACCTATTTTTAAGAGTCGGTGTAAGATCCTTGTGTCCCACTTCAGACAGGACCAAGCCCCGGTCTGAGGTCGTTGCGGTCACGCTGCGGTGTGTTATGGTCGTGTCTGAAGTTGCATGTGAGTGGAACAAAACCCTAGTCTTCCTGCAAATTATTGTCTATCCTTGTCTCTCTCGGAGTTTTCAATCCAACTTTATTTCCAAGTACTTCCTCTAGTCCATTTTACATCTTCCTTTCCGATTGATTGGTTGAGGAAAATTTTCCCTTCAATTTCTCTTCTATAAAATTATTTTTATATTTTTATATTTTAATACAATAATAAAAAGAGGTGGGAGTAATATTTGTAATATTTAATTTTTATTACAATTCTCAACTAATAAAATTTTTTATATATTTTTTTAAAAAAATTTCCTCAATTTTTTCTATTTAAAACTCATTTGATATTTTTTTAATTAATTTTTTTACATTAATTTCTTACCAAATACATAAAAATTAACAATTCAATAAAATTTTATTACAAAATTTATCAATTTTTATATAATATTTTTTAACTTTTTATATAATATTTTCTTAGTAAAAATTTTTCTAAAATAATTGACCTTTAATCAAATAATTCCTTTATATATTTTTTCCACAAAATTTTAATTCTATGTAACAAGGATTGTTTACTCATTTTGAACTTTCTCTGGCATCCATTCAAGATTTAAGCTTAAATTTTTTTTATTTTATAATTTGAATTATAATAATTATAAAAAACAAATTATTAACTAAAAAATACATTTACCTATATCAAGATATTCATTTTATTTAATAATTTAAATTATGTAGTGTAAATTATATAATATTGTTTAAAATTTAAAATATATATCTAAAAAAATTTAATTCTTTTAAATGCATTAAATCATTACATAAAGAGTCCAAAAAGGGATACTCAATTTCAAAAACACTGTTTTATCGAGGTAATTCGAAAATATTTTGACCATTCAAACGAAGAAATGTGGTAGCATTTTTCTTTGGGGATCTTTTTTTCTTCCTCAAGGAAAGAAACTCTGGGGTAAAGGGACGTGCGTTGGAAGCAACCATATGAAGGAATATAATAAAACCGCGTAAAGTGCATGCTGAGTTGGAAATTAAGCGGATTAAGGAAAATCAGCCGTAGGATCCACCACGTGCAAGCACATCGCTGGCTTTCTATTTCCAATCCAACCACGAAGAGTCCCCGGCGATGGGACCCGGCTCCATTTATCGTGGCATATATTTGGTTTCACGAAAGCAAAATTACAATAGTGTCGTATTTTTTTTCCTCTCTAAAATTGATACTTTCTTTTGTTGATTGAAAAAATTAATATTTTCTTTAACAACATGAAATTGTTTTCTTTATATTTTTTTTATACATTGAAAAGTTAGTTAGTTGATAACATAGAAATTTAAAACTCTAACTTTAATCTCTAATATAAAATTTTAAATTAATGAATACCAATTCAATTAAATTTTTGTCAGTATTATTTTTTTTATTGAAATTATAAGAAAATGGATAAAAACAGATTTATTCTGAACTTCATTATGAAGAAACAATACTCATATGTTTGATTTGTGTTAGTGGTTATTTTTATTCAAACTATAAAAATAAGTTAAAACGAATACATAAACTTTAATATCGATTACTAACGATTTAAATAATTTAATGATAATTTTTTTCTAATGGAAGTAAAAAGTCTTAAATTTGACTTGTATAATATGGTTTTTTATTATGCAACCTAAAATTAAAAAAAAAAAAACTTTAAGGTCTATCATTTTCTATTAAACTAAATTATAATGAAGAATGTGTATTCCTTTAATTTTTAAGAAATAGAGTTTTCTTGATTTTTAGTTAATCAATGTAAAAGAAAAATTAGATATTAAAGATTAGTTATTTCTAATTGTTGTTGTAGAAATTTGTCAATCTTACCTTATTTTTATAGTTTAACCAATAAATAATTATTACTATCAACCAAACAAGTCCAACGAGATTTGTACCTCATGGCTTTGTACGCAAGTACTTCCCTGGTTTTAAAGTAACTGTTACTACCTTTTATTCAAAATTTATTTTAAATTAATTGTTATTTTTTATTTTTAAATAAACAAATATTTTTTTTTACTTTAATTAGATTCTTATCACTTAATTTTAATATCTATGTTATCATTAAAATTTTTTTCTTAATCTTTCGTATTTTTTATTAAAAATAATATAAATAAAAACAAATTAAAATTGACAATACGAAAATTCTAGATAACATGGACTCTTATATACCCCACATGATGCTGGTTACTTCATCGTTAAGCAGTTTTTATAGCACGTACATGTTAATTTTTTTTTGAATGATACTAGAAATCAGGAATTTGCAGTTTAAGAAACAGTAATACTGCAGTATATAAATAAAAAAAAACAGTATTAGTGTAAATAATTTAAATATTTCAATGATAATTTTTTTTATAGATATAAGAGATTTTAAATTTAAATTAATAACATATGAGTGGATAAGATAAAAAATAAGATAATAATATTTTTTACTGTTTAAAAAAAAAAAGAAAAAGAGGTTAATTATAGGAGTAAAAATAGTGACGGCAGTGGCTTGTGTATGAACTATGAAGTGGTCCGACCTGAATGGCGGGTGGCTGACGCGGCGTATTTGGTGGTGTCAGTGCTCGCCACTTGTTTATTTCCCTTTCTAACATTTAATCGGGGTAGCACTCGCAAATACGTAAGAAATTCTTTTTCTTATATTCACCAACAGTAACATTGGGATAATCTTGATATCTTTAAATTTAAATTTTAAGTTGAGTGAAAGAGAATATAAGAATAAAGTGAGTTATTTTTTTTTATATAATTGATTATCAAATATATTGATTAAAAAAACCTTTCATTATAGTCTTTTTTTTTATTTTAAATATAATGAGTTAATAACAGTTTATTATTATGATAAATCTAAATTAGAAGAGATTTTGGGTTATAATAAAACGCTGTGTGAAGAAAAATTAACCAACCTTCGTGTGCCTTTTGAAAAAAACAAAAAACTTAATATAGAGGTTACACGAATTAAAAGATAAATGATGGTACATCTTATTATGCAAACTCAAAACAAAAATTAAAAAAAAAATAGTAGTAATACGATGAGGATATATGCGTAATCTACTAAATTGAAAAACACAAAAAATTTGAGAATAGCCTTCTGCCCAAGTCGCCGAAAAAAAAAAAAAAAAAAGGGAGGAAAGTGTGAACCGCGAAAAAGAACTTACAAAGTCGGGCACGTGTGCACACGAGCGAGGCGTTTTCACACAGAACCGGTTAAACCGGTCAACAAGCCGCGTAATGCACCAAGTGGACCACTGGCGGGCGGGTCCTGCAGCAATTAATGCCCAACACCGCCCTCTCCTGATGCACAATTACCGTACAATTGTCAACCGACAAATGCCGGTCATTTTAAGCTGTTTTCCAAATATCCAAGGCCCATCCGGGGGCCCGAGTCCATATTCACACTAGAAATTGTTATTTCTTTCTCAATTTCGTATTTTGTCATTACAAAAATGGAGGGGAATATGTGCTGTTGATGGGAATTTCTATGGAGCAGCAGAAGAAAGAAGAGGAAAAGAGATCAGAGAATTTCATGGCGAATTTGACATTTACCGACGAGATTTCGGCTAGCTTTGCAGCTTCTGCCGGCAGCAGCATCTTTGACGATAAGTGGGGTTCTTTAGGTTTCATGGATTTGCTGGGTATCAATCAGGATTTTTCTTCTCCTTCTTTATTCGATTCGTTGATTCAGTCTCCGTTCATACCTCCACCACCACTACCAGCAGCACCAGCACCAACACCAGCAGCAGCGCCGTTACAAAAGCAACAAGAAGTACAACAGCAAGCACTTCCTTCGCCGGCTTCCACAGTACCAGAATCATCGGAGGTTTTGAACACTACTGCTCCAACTACGCCTAATTCTATTTCGATCTCTTCTTCATCGAATGAAGAACAGAGCAAAGGAGGAGATGAAGAGGAGCAAGAACAAGATGATCAGAAGAATAAGAACAAGTAAGCTTTTTTTTTTATATACTCTCTATTCATTTTCAGGATATTAGTTGAGTAATTATTGATCTAAGTCGATCGAGGATGCTGTGCTATGGCACTGTAAGTGATGTGTCTGTTTCTGGGTTTAGCTTGAAACCCAAAAAGAAGAACCAAAAAAGGCAAAGAGAGCCAAGATTTGCCTTCATGACAAAAAGTGAAGTGGATCACTTGGATGACGGCTACCGGTGGAGAAAGTACGGCCAGAAAGCAGTCAAGAACAGCCCTTACCCCAGGTAGATATCAATATTCCATCATCTAATTAATTCAGTTATTTATTTATTTTTTGATTTATTTCTATGTTTCCTTACTCCGCAAGAATCTCAAGTTTCGTGTGACCATCATGAAAATCTCATGTGGTCCGATAACTTACATGTGTCAGAATCGAAATCTAGCTTCATGCGCATGAAGAGAATTTCAATTTATGTTTATGATATGTGTAGGAGCTATTATCGTTGCACTACGGCTCGATGTGGAGTGAAGAAGAGGGTAGAGAGGTCTTCTGATGATACGACCATCGTGGTCACAACCTACGAAGGACAACACATGCATCCTTGCCCGATTACGCCTCGGGGGAGTATGGGGATGCTACCGGATAACAGTGGTTATGGTGCTGCTGTTGCGGCTTCAGTGCCTTTCGTTGTTCCACAACCTCACTATTTACACCAGCAACAGCAACCCTTTCTAATCAACCCATCAACGTCTTTGAATATCACCGGTAGCTCAAGTTTCAATCATCCCACATCTTTCCCTTCTTTGATTCAAGAGAGACTAGTATTTAGTCCTTCTATGGCACCGTCTGTACTGGTTCGAGATGGACTTCTTCAGGATATCGTTCCATCGCAGATGAGAAACGAGAAGAAAGAGGGGTAGATTAATGGTGTTAGATTTTTCTGGTATGAAATTTTATCACTCAGCTGACTGACTCATGGGGGTTTGGCTTTAGATTTTTTTTTTTTCTTTCAGATTCTATACATATATATGATCTTGTAAGATGCTTAGCCCCCGTTTAGGCTTAAATTTGTAGTACTGGTAGTTATGTACTTGTATTTCCCTCTGTTATTCTTTGTATTTAGTTAGTGTTCAATCATGGAGATATATATATATATATATATATATATTGCCTTTTGCTTCCCCCATTTTTGTTTAGTGCTTCCCTCTTTTTCATTCTTCTATGGCGGCCCATTTTGTTTCTCCAAATTGATATCACTAGAAAGAAAACAAACAACTAGGGTTAGGGTTCGGAAGTAAACCTTGATATTAGCTTTTTGTTTGTTTGTTTGACATGAAATGTTTGAGAACTTTTTTTTTTTAATCGGTAAACTCTTGAGACTTTATATTAAAAGTATAATCATGAACTTGGAAACATATATAGCTTCTTTTTTTTTTTTTTTTTCTCATGAAAAAGTTTAGACTCTATGGGAAAAGGGATGTGTTGAACTTGAGAACCCCTAAAGATCAATGGAGATATGGAATAAATATAAAATCTTGGAAACGTGCATGGAAATTTAACAATGAATTATTTTTAAGCCATTCCCATTCACCTTTTCCATTCATGACTTTTTAAAGGAATTTCTTTCTCTTTTAAGGCTTAATTAAGATATTAAAACAGATGTGGATAAATATTGCATATCTCTCGATCGGTTGCCACGGAAAATGCAATGTATATTTGTTCTCGATGGAAAGGATATGGCTCATTTGAAGGCTTTTAAAGGGGGTGCATTGTCATCTTCATTATAATGTTTGTTATAGGATACTCTTCATCCACATTCCATGAACATACGAGTTATATATAAGGCCTTTAGCCTTTGTTATGGAGAAATAGCTACGATTATATATATATATATATATATGTATTGGATATATATAGGGAAATTTCATTAGCCCACCTTATCTTTATTATTAATTTTTTTTTATAGCTTAATTCATGTTTGTTTAGATTGATTAAAATTGAGTGACTTGTTTTCCTAATTATATAAAGATAAGGTAGAGAGAAAGAATGATCACCTTTTTCCAAATTGTACGTCTCGATCAATATTGGTACCCGGCCTTTTGTATTTAGTCCACAAGGTGTGTCCGGTTGGAAGATTTTCATTGATTTGAAGACCTTTTGTGCAATTCATATGTGGGTTTAGAGTACTCCTCTCTAATGATAGCTAGAATTTTGCAATTTCTGCGGGAATTGGTCGGGAAAGAGAAATTGGAGAAAAGAGGGGTTTCTTGTAAAGGGTGGTGTATGATTAGCGATTTAGTATAAATTCTAGTATGAATTCAAGATATATGAATATTCCTTAAATGATGGGGTGAAGACTCAAGAGTGTGCTGCCCAAAATCTTGAACTTTGTTACAACACTTTAGTTTATTAACTTTTCATATGGAAAAAGCACTTAACTGAAATGGCAGCTAGATCATAATCAAATTCTTAACAGAATAAGTTATTTATCGAGTTAATTTTCCAGATATATATGTACCTGACAAGATTTTATATAGAATCTTTTTTCTTTTTAAAATTATTTTTTGATAGGAGAATTAATAAAGATATATAGTGTTAAATGGGAAATCCTATAGTAGAAAATAAAGAAACACTTATAATTAAATATAACTAATGCGGGCTATTGCACCTATATATATTCAATTGATTAAGTTTAGGTTGGATATATTCATGTTATATTAACAGTGGGAAGATTTCAGATTCTAGGATTAAATGATACCACAAAAGATATAT